GTTTACATTTTGTTTTTTTTTTTACATTTCTAATTTCTTGGCTAAATATTTGAGCGATTTCCATGGCGTGGGCAAAAAAAGGGATTAGATGTCACTTGACGGGTGGGTGGGTTGGTTGGTTGGTTTATTTGGCTCCGTTTCCTGGGCTCAGCTGCTGCAATAGCGCAGCTAAGTCCTACAACAACAACAGCAGCAGCAACAACTGTCAGCATTTTGAGTTGGGTTAAGAGTTTTTCATGCTTCAGCTAAAAAATTCAAGTTTCAATTTTCAAGCTGAGCCCGAAACAAAGGCAAAAGATTTAGCCAAGTCGCTGCAATCACAATGAACAGAAAAGCATTCACAATGCTATAATGAAAACTACAACAACAACTACAACAAATCAATTTGAAATCCAGTCAAGCTTAAAGATTGAAGTTCATGGCAAAACTAAATTACCTAAATCAATTTGTAGGGTATAAGCCCATACAATAGATTCAATTATCTCCTATGCTATTATATTTTATTGTAAATTATAACTTCAGTTTATCTCGATTCAATTCTCGAAGCACTTCAAAAATCATATTTTTGCGTCTCTATCTCTTCAATCGTTATGCTTTTACTACTTTTCAGTTTTGGACACAAGAATAAATAAATAAGAACTGGGCGGAATACGACGGCTGCAGCATCCTCCATGAGTTCCTTTTGATACAGTTATTTTGCCCTTGCTTTTGGAATAGCCAAAAATCGAAGACAAACCAAAGCATGCCAAAATACCTATTCAAAATGTATATATATAACAGAGTCTATATATGTATATACTATAATATAGTCTATCAGTATTTCACAGTTTATATAAATATACATATATCATGCATATATATTATATAACTCATGAATCTATAACTTATCACTGGTATGTTTATTTACCAAATATTACCTCTCAGGTATCTGCAGTTCATCATTTCCAAAAATAGTATTTAAATTATGCTCAAATTTTAGCGAATTCGGACAAACAATTGGCTTTGACCTATTGCACATTGATTAATAAACAATAAACAATAAATCAAAATTAGTTTTGGCTCAAAATTGAGTTTGTGGCCAAAGCTTTGCGGTTTGTGATGCTAATCAAATGATAATATTGCGGATGTCATACAATATGCATAGAGAGAGACAGACAGACTGAGGGAGGGAAGTATATCCATATGATATGCATATATATTATATAAAGACAGAGAGGGAAAAAGAGAGACAGAGTTAGCTAGATAGAGAGAGAAGTTAAATATTTATGGTTACGAGAGCTATAATCAGATGCGAATCAATTACATTTGGCATGGAAGTAATGCGAGTACTTGCACAAAGTGCTTTAGCCACCCTCGCACTGCGCCCGCCGCCAACAAACGGTGGTTCACGCCCGCCCTGCCACGGTCACTGTATGTTGTCCAAATTAGAAGCAGATGATGATGATGTTGATAAGAGCAAAGCGAATCATAAGATGGATATTCATTGAATCGTGCCATTTATTGCATGCCACATGGCCCTCTCCCTACCTCGCTCTCGCTTTCAGACTGGCCTCAACATTTTGCAACATTCACACTTTTGGGCTGACTTGTCATTGTTGCCCCACACTCTACCACGAGCCACTGATATGCCAATAACAATAAAGCACACACCCAGCGGGCGTGCCACAAACTCTGTCTAAGTGAAACCGGGTAGCCAAGCCGTGCTGCTGGAAGCTGTGAGCATAGTTAATCGTTATTTACAGACAGATAAAGTGCAGAAATATTGTCGAGCAGCAGCAGCAGACGAGTCGACAGACCCAGCCAACGTTAGCTCATGTATCTCATGCGACCACCAAAATGTCGAACTGCCAACCAAGTAAAAGCAGCAAAGCAGCTAACCAAAAGGAAAAATGAGAATGAAAAAAAGTAAGACAAACAACTAGAAAAGGTAGAGTTGGAATACTTCGCAGTTGAAATACCCTTTCCAGCTGAAGAGACTTCCTTTTCTAAATCAGTGAATAATTTTTGAGTAAGTCTTGACTTTTGCCATCATAGTATATGATGAGGAATAATATGATAGCGGCGTACTTCTGTCTTATAAAGTTAGCCAAAGTATAGATATATGAAAACTTTATACGGAAAGATTTTTTGCCAGAGTTTTGATTCTGATATATATATATCAGTTTGGTCTGGGAAATATATATAACTCTTCGTCTCAGAACTGACCTACTTAAAACCACTTATCACACGTCTATATCAACTGATTTCACAAGCTAGCTATCTAACGAACGACACTCAGTTTCTTCCTATACACGGTATATCTATCAAGCTTTTTTTTCATTTGTTTATATATTTATCTATCTATCTATCTATTTGTTAATCTTTTTATCTATCTAGCTAGCTGCATCTACTCTGATATCCTTTTATCTCTTTGTCTATCTGCATATCTATCTGTCAATAGATGGATGAATCTATGCAACTTTATCTACCTACCTATAAATTTATCTATCTTTATCTTTCCATAGATCTTTCCATGGATAGATAATCCATTCATCCCTCTATCTATCTGTTTTTCTGTCCAAGTTACTATTTACGTGCACCTGCTCTGATATCTATCTATATATCGGTCAATATATCTCTTAATATCCATATAGTTTGCAGATAGATAGATATTATATATACTATATCTCTATCTATTTCAAGATCTATCCATCTCCCTATCTACGCATCTATCCCTATATCTATCTATCTACCCATATCTATCTAGCTACATCCGCACTAGCATTCAGAGTTCTCTTCTCGAAGACGTTGCATAGCTCATCAAAATATCATATTACTCTGGCATGAAGAGCGCATTAAGCAAAAGAATGCGCATACTGGCAAAGTAATCGGATTCCCATGCATGAGCCCAAAAGGCGGAGGCGGTGGAGGCACATGGAGCTGCGATAACGAGCTGTATGAAAGGGGGCAGAGCCAAAGTCAGGCAACTGAGGCAGCAGAGGGCGATAGAAGCTGTGTGCCATTGCCAATGCCAATGCCAGTGCCATAGCTCGTAAATTTGCGCTTTTGCCAGAGCCCAAAAAAAAAGCAGAGCATAGAAAATCAGACGAACCGAGGCGAAAAACCAAATGCCACGCCCACACCCATACACTTAGAGGGGCTGCTGTTGGGTTTTGTCTCCATCGCTTCCTGTGGCCGGGCGTCAGCAATTTCGTTGCGGAAATCATTGGCCAGGAGCTGGCAGCAGCAGAAGTAGCTAGTGATGGCTCTTCAGGCCGCATGCTGTGCCTTTTCACACGATAAACTCCGCTGTTTAACTCGTTGGCCATTTATTTGGGCCAAGCAGAAGCAAAATGCTGTAGGCCGTTATCAAATTCAATTACCTAAACCCGGAAATGCGTTTGCCTAGACCATAAAACTGACGCCCAAAAGATGACTCAAGATGTGCCATTTAGATACGAGATTTTTCCTTTCCTTTCGGAAAAGATGTTTGCAATAAGAACTCCAAAAAAGCCCAAAGCTGCGATGACTTAACTAAAGCAGGATACAAGACCAAGCCTAGAGGGTCTACAGTCAGCGAAAAAAGGGGCCCATAACTCAACTAAGGTCTGCTGTTAGCTAAGACCAGCGCAGAGGCACAAGAACTAGGTCTAGACACTCAAGAGACTTAGATAGACATAAATTTCCGAAAAGCTGTAGCTCATCTTAACCCACAGAAGAAGAGCTTAAAGCAGCGAAAGTTCAGTTGAGTTATTTGTAAAGGGCTGAAACGTTAGTAGGGCTAGATGAGACCTAAAGAGGAACATATAGTTGGCAGACAATCCAGAGACAGACAGCAGTTTTTTAAAGCCTTGTAGCTCGCTCACGGCAATACGAAATGGTTCTAAGCCATTAACAAATCAGCTTAATTTGGCTTTAGCATAAGAATCTTTCAGCCGACTGTGACTTTGTTTCTCATGCAAGAACTAAATTAACTTTAACTAATATGAAAACCAAGTGCCGAGACTCTAAAGACTGCCAGCCTTTAAAAAAGGGCCACTTTAGAACATGAGAACTAAACAAAACCCTAACAGATCTAGGCTTAGACAAGAAAGGTTAACAAATAGGTCTAGCTGTATAGTGAGAACCAAAAGCAAAGCCAAGTATCAAAGTTACGTCCAAGGCCAGAATGTCTAACGAGTAAGAAAATAATTAAAAGGCTTAGCTACAGAGAACTAAGTCGAATATCTATAGAAAAAATGAGACAACTACGCTCAAGCTGAGCTGCAATACTCAGGCCTATAGAGAGTCTAACTAAGGATAACAAAAGGGATTTAACGCTGAGTAAGATTGAAAGTTAGAGTAAGATAAGAAATACAATCCTAAAGCTAGAGAAGAGAATTAATAGAGAGTTACAAGAGATTAGGTTCTGGGTAAGATGGCATGACAAAGTTAGCCCAAACTATTCAAAGAGGGAACATCTGAACCAATTGGATTGTAAGAATTAAAGTGTAAAACAAGAATCAAACCTGAAAGAGTCAAAGAGTCAAGTTCAAGAGTCAAAACCAAATGGAGTTGGTTTCTAGCGTCTCGCATCTATGCAGAGCTCTACCTCGTGCCTTATATAAACTCATTTCTGGCTGTGTGTAATTAAAGCTTGCAGCTTTTAATTACCATAGCTGAGCTGGCTGACCAGCGTATGCTGTTTTGCTGCCTGCTGCGCAGCTTGCCACGCTCACTGGCCCCAATTCCTGCCACAGCTTTAGCTCCAGGGCCCGTTGACCACATAAACCACAAGAGCCGAAACGACTCTTGGCAAAAATGCCAACAGCACGATTAATGCGCACATCTGGCAACGCCAGCAGGGCAGGTCACAATGTCCATGTGAACCAATTTGAAAGGAAATATAAACATATAATACATATAGCTGAAGGAACTTGCTTCCTGCTAACCGCAGCGGGTATGAGAATGGAAATGAAATTTGGTAAGCTCTGGCAACGCTGGCTGAGAATGTCGAATAGATGTGGGTAAGATGTACTCACTTTTTGGAACTGCTCCTGCAAACGCAGCAGCGCGCCTTCAATCTCAATCATGCGCCTTTCCAATAACAAATCCTGCAAAAAACAACAAAAAGAAAGAAACGCAAACTGAAGAACAAAATGCAATTTTTGTTGTTGTTCGGATATGGCAACGATATCTAAGCAGATAAATAGGCCCAAAAAAAAAAGAAGAAAAGCTATAGATGATTTAGCTGTGCGATGGAGGGAAAGTGCGAGAGGGTGTGTGTGGCTGTGGATGTGTGTAGACCAATGAAACCAATGGGGCGTATGCGTAATATATTTGTATATATTTCTATATGTATGTGTGTGTGTATGTGTGTGTGTGTAAGCGAATATTAACCACATATTATACAAATAAGATAGATAAGCTAATAGCTGTTACGTATTTAACATGTAGTTAACACAGTACAAAGCTACAAACTACTTGTGTAGCGAGAGATAACAATTAGTTAACCATAAACTGGTTGTTAACAAGGTTGAGAAGCATTTTCTACTGACTCATTGATAATCAGTCAGCATATAACTCAAAGATTAACAATTGATAAGACAATTGTTAGCAAGCTGTCCATGTCCATATCAATAGAGCTATACTTGTGACTGACTGCTTAGACTGTTGACTGGCAGTTAAACATATTACTACTCCATAACAATTTTTTTTAACGGATTTTTTATATTTTATTTTTTTATGACAATTTTCTTTAACGTATTTTTATAAAGTTCTAATAGCGACAAGTCGTTGATAATCAGTTTAACTTGCTAAGCTCTAATAGAAAATTTTTAACTGACAGTTAATATAAACAAGCTCTAGTGGCAATTGAGCAACAGACTATATATGGGAACACATATTTTTGATCAATCAAGAAAGCTTTTTCGTTAACTTTAACTTAAATGTTAAGTCTTAACTGTCAGTTAAACAAGTTGTCAAGTTGCTGTTAATCACCTTATATAAATGACAAACGAAAAGCAAGAAACAGCTTAAGAGCTCAGTTACATATCGATAACAATCGAAAATACAATCGATCGCTACAAAAATATCACAAATACTGAGTTATTCTCAACATTATTAAAAGCTTGGATAGTTAGTAAGCAACAAGTTAATTTTGCGTACTAACCTTTAGAAATTAACTTGGAATCAAATTTAATTTAAAGTTTTTAGCTTTTGATCTTAGCAAACAATTCACAAATATTTTAAAATCTTTTTGAACTTTGCATACACTGAAATTTTTCGTTTAACCAATTTTGTAATAAAATATCAGTTAGCGATAAATGAATTTGAGCATTTTATCGATAAGTGCGGCCAGTTGCAACATTTCACAAAAGATAACGAACTGCAAATGAACTATTTATGAGCCAAATTACAGTTTTTATGTATTTTGACTAAATGCGGGTCTGCGATAACGAACGAGTTGTAATTGAACTGTTGCTAAACTTAGCTTATCGAGTGCATTTTTATGGAAGCAACAAAGCAGCGTTGCAACACTTGATATACTCGCCTCAAAAAGTGAAAGGAGTATATTGCTTTTGTGCAATGTGAAGCAAGAGACTTGATATATACCCGACAATTAAGGGCGTAACAAACAAGTAATGTTGCAGAATTTAACATTTAAGATCAGAATCAACTGCTCCATAGAAAGATCTATTCATTATATGGTCACCCCATTCGGAAATATTGATTTCTGCACAGATTAAACAGTTTTTTGACGAGCATTATGCAGTCGTTGGCGCCCGCAACATTCGTACTAGAAAAGCTGATTGTAATTTAACTTTAAGTGGAACATGAGAAAATTAATTCGAAAATAAAAAAAAAAATACTTGGCGTCTTTAATGCTTAAGCGATTTAAATTAATTTACGAGCAAATGAATTTATTTTGATTTTTTAACTATTTTCGTTTGGTAAGTTTTGCATGTGCACGCGATTCGAAGGTCTGGGACTCGACTTGGAATTGATTTTGCAGGTGTGCATGGCCCATAATTCAGTCGAGTGTGGCATGCAACAAAGCAACGGTGGCACGAACAAAGCCAAAGCACTTGCATAGCAGAGCGATCTATCTGTGACTTGTTTTGGATATGTGCCCGCACTTTGCTGCCTATATAAGGTTTTAGCTGGGTGGGCGTAAGCAGGAAGTTGGAATGACAGTCTCATAATTGGAACTGGAGTTGGAGTTGCCGTTGCAATGGCAATTGCAGTTGAAGCTATTTTATGAGCCTTTGTCACCCAGCCAGCCAGGCACTCAGGCAGTCAGTCAACTTGCAGCTTATTAGTCTGGGAGTCCAGCGGTTTTTTTAGGCGCTAGACAAAGTTTCGACCACAAAAAAAAAAAACCAAACAAAAGTAACAAATTTTAAATAGGCTCGTAAAAACAAATGCTAAACAGCAGCACCTCCAACAGAGAGAGAGAGAGTGAGAGAGAGGAGGAGAGAGGGGGAAAGAGACAGAAGTCAAAACATTGAAACGTGCTTAGCTGGCTGCCAAATACTCGTTCACAGCTCATACAGTAAATTTAGTTAAAATATTGAATACATAAAGGTAGACGGCAGTAAACAAAACCAATATACTCTTAGCTCACTTCATGAATGAGCATATAAACAGAAAGAGAGGGCAATAGAGACACGCAAGCAATCAGACAAATCGTAAAACATATTTTGCTTTAAACACTTAAAATTAGTCGGCTGGAAGTTGTAAAAATCTAATTGTTATAGCTAGAAATATATATATATTTATTTTTTGGTGTGAAGAAAATTAATAAATGCCAGACGGCTGGGCCGAGGGTGGCCAGAGAAATTAAACGAAGATAGAATGAGTTACATAAATACCAATGAAATTGTATTCATATATTCATTATTCATATATATTTCTATTTAAGTATTGTTAGTTGTCATACCACCCTCGTTTATATGTATATCTGTACTATTTATAAGCCAGGTTGAGCCTGGCTAGATGCATGATTCAGCCATGATTTGTGGCAGGAAATTACGCAGACGTCGAGTGGGTTAAGTGGAGTCCATTTCATAGCCATAAAAGAGTTATAAGGCAGGCAACGAGATATATATATACAGTCACAGTGAGATCGTTTTGTTATAAATGTGCCGCTTGATAAATACTAATGCGTGCCTAACCTATTTAAAGCGTATATATAAACATATATCCACATATATCTACATATATAAAACAGCTTATCTGAACAATATACAGCTGTTGTTGTCGAGTGTGTGCGAAGTTTGAACCAGAGTCTGAAAAAACTAAAGCTTGAGCTATATATCACTTGTGACTCTGACATGTTAGTGTGCCTAACTATAGCATAGCTGAGGCTGCACTAGCAGATACCCTGCAACAGAAATCTCACAGGCAGATATATAATAAAGGAGAGATAGTTAGAGGAAGATATATATACTGAGAGAGAGTGATAGAGAAAAAGAAAAAATGAGAGGAAGAGGAAAAGATACTCAGAGAGACAGAGAGAGAGAGCAAGGGAAAGATTGAGATATATAGATAAATAGAGAAAGAGAGAGTCAAAAACAAGTGAGCAACTCTTCTAGCACTCCCTGTGCACTTTAATGACTATAGGGTATGCGCATAGCTACATATTTCGCTTTATTGCCTCGCATACACACACACAGCAGAACAAAGGCAACGATTGCTGTCTGCTGCGCATGTGCAACTGCAACTTGCAACTGCATTTGCCACAGCCAAGTGGCAACTGGCAACTGGCAACTGGCAACAGCTGAGCCATCCAACCAGCCAGCCAGCCAGCGAAACTGAAACCAAAAACGTTGCGAATCCAAAGCTGGCAAATAAATAAATAAACAAAGATTCAAGGGGGCAGGCAGATCGATGTGGCAGGGGCAGGTGCTGAAGACGAAGTGCAAACGTTGCACATAAATTGCCGCACGTTCAATGAACTTTTTATGCGACGAGCCCATTGCATAGGGTATAAAATGGGGTATATTAGCTGTGCAGTTGAATGTGAACAGGTGGCAGAAAGCATAAAGGAAATTTATAGAGAAATTATTAATAGACAAACTTAAAGAGCTAAAGTTTATATATATTTAATATTATATTTATTATATCGTATGTCGAATATCGTATGTAGAATATCGTATGCTGAATGTCGTATGTCGAATATCGTATGCTGAATATCGTATGCTGAATATCGTATGCTGAATATCGTATGCTGTATATCGTATGTCGAATATCGTATGCTGAATATCGTATGCTGAATGTCGTATGTCGAATACCGTATGCTGAATGTCGTATGTCGAATATAGTATGCTGAATATCGTATGCTGAATATCGTATGCTGAATATCGTATGCTGAATATCGTATGCTCAATATCGTTTCAGATTTCTGATCGATATTCAAACAAGACAAAAATAGTTGAGGTAGATCTTATACAAACCAGTTATATGATCTTCGCATTCGCAATTGCATGGTATCTGCTAGTCGAGCAACTGCGACTAGAGCACTTTAGTTCAATCAGACGTCGCAGAAATGCAACTGCAGCCGGGCAGAGAACGTGACTGGGTTCTGATGACAGGGCGCTGGGATGCAGACAGGGTTGATGCAGCAGTAACTGCAGCAGCAGCAGCTCTATTGTATGCGAGCGGCATAATCAAGATGCCATTTAGCAGAGAGAGAGGCGGCAGAGGGGCAAGAGAGAGCAGTTGCTGCAGCCATCTGTGTGTGGGTGTTGCCATTTGAAGAAAGAGAAAGAGAGAGAGAGAGAGAGAGGGGAGAGCGAGATGAGCTCAACATGTGTGGCAATCAATACAGATGCAGCATTTGTCCCACTGTGCGGGCCAGGCTTAAAGACAGCTTCAATTAGCAGTCAGCAGCAAGGCAGCCATCAGGCAGCAGCCATCAGCCAGCTGCCCGCTGGGTCGCTTCTAAGAGTCGCGAGATTTCTGAGAAACATTACACGGCACAGCTTTGTCCCAACCAATTTTACATAGCCGCAGATTCTGTGCGAAGCTCATTTGCAGCTGCTTATGGGGCCAGGCCAACTTGGCCACGTTCCACGGCTGGAAGAGGTGGCCATAAATCAAGTGCTCCAGTGCGCGCCTGCGCCATAGTTAGCGCTATTAAAGCGTCACGGAAGTCGAAACGTGATCGCATAAGCCTCATGCTCGAACATCCAAAGTTTTATGGGAACGCTTAGCTAAACACGCTCATGGGAAACGCGAGAGTAAACCAATGCCAAAACAAGCCGCAATTGGCCATAACAGTCAAGTGAAGCTGAAAACTTGAGCTGAAAACTCAGCACAACAGCTGTTAGCGGCTGACGTTGATTTGGCATCGATGAAGGTGTCATTCGGAATGAAGAAATTTGTTTGAGATGTTGCAAATTATGGGCAGAGGAAGGCGAATCATTCAGAACGATAGGGCATGATGGGCATGATGAAAGGGAATGATGCAAAGATGTGGAACGACTGGACAGTTTATCATTCAGAATGGTGTAAGTGATGCATGATAGTGAATGATATGAATGATGATCAGTCTAGAGACTGTCATTCAGAATGATAGTGAATCATATAAGTATGCTCTATCATAATAGTAAATGATATGAATGATGGGCAGACTAAAGTCTATCATACAGAATGATGATCAGTCTAATGTGTATCATTCAGAATGATATAAATCTTGACCCATATAAATGTGAATAGCCTTTGTGAATCATAGCGAATGATGTGAATAACCAACTCCACTTCAGCTAGTGGCATGTCTATAATTCAGAAAGATGACCCAAAAATAAGCCAAGTCAAAAGGAAAATTTTAAAAACTTATTACAAACACTCACCGAATTCCCATTTATCTATACATCATGTTATAAATCTTAAACATAACCTCATTCCTAAACATAATATGTAAAGCATAAGGAACAATCTCGGTAGATGAAAGCGAACCGCAGCTTTAATCACATTGAACATAAATCTTGACACAGATCAAATCATGCAAAATGTTAAGAATGATGAGCTTAACCCTTACTTCGAATGTAGCTAAAAATATTATGTAGGTTATCAGCAGCATTCTTAGCAGATGGTCAGAAGCTGATTGAGATTCGCAGATTTATGAGTCAAACACATGAAAGAGAGAGACACGCAGCTCAAGCTTGGCTTGGTTGTAGAGACTTTACAGTTTCACAAGAAGGTCAAAGTGGCTGTCAAATATTAACAGAGGAAGCATGTTTTGCAAGCGAGTTAAAATGGATGTTTAAAGTGCATTTGCATGCGAGAGTCAAAGTTTATCGACGGGCTAAAAATACATTTGTATCAGAGTTTCCTACAGTCAAACTTTAACAGCAGCTTAAAGTGCATGTTAAGAATTCATATGTATGAGAGTGTTGTACAGTTAAACGTGGACAGCTGCTTAAGCTGAATATAAAAAATGGATTTGCTTAAGTAAATCCAACTGACAAATTTTAACAGCCACATGAAAGCAACTGCTGTGGAGTGCAACTTTGTTACATCAGGATAAACCAACTACAGTTCTACAGTCAAATTGTAAACTAAAGCTTAACTGACTGCATGTTGAAGGTAAATTCTTATGTGAGATTCATAAAGTCAAGCTGAAACAGCAGCTTTAACTGCATGTCAAAAGTGCATTTGCATGCCAGAATTGCAGCTTGCATCAATCTGTAACTTCAAGTGGCTGCACTTCAGCTAATCTGAAAGGTTCAAAAGGTGTTGCATGTCAGGTTTTGCACACGACAAGCCAAGGAAAAGCTTCCCAGGCCGGGCAAATTGGGTTATGCATAGGTGAGGGTTAACCAAATGACAATAATGTTTATAGTTTAATGTTGTTTAATAGGAGTGTAATTGCACTGAGCACTGCTACCGGGCTAAGTAGAGCTACGAACCAGCACCAGTTGGAAATTATTGGATATATATATACGGGGTATACTTGCTGAGTTAGTTTAACTACTTTCTCACTCACCTTGTCGCTGGCACGCTCCAAGCTGAGCGCTGGCTCGTGCTCCAGCGAGCGCGCCTGATGCACCAATTGAATTTTGCCCTGCGATATTTGTATATAGTTCGCTGGCGGCATTATATCATGCACATCGTCCTTGTCATCCTCGTCGCAATCCTTCTCGTTTTGTCTGCAAAACGTAAATTGAATATATATAGATAAGTAAGCAAACAGATAGAGAGAGAGAGATATCTACACAGAGCTTGATTAATGCCAGCTGACAGCCTTCAATTGCAGCCGCCGTGTCTGCAGCCGAAAACTTGCTCAACCAGCTTCAGCTTCCAGCTCCAGCTACGAGCTTCGTCGCGTGGGCTGCCGATCGTATCGTATGGTATCGTCTGGTTGCATAGCTGAAATCTTTCCCAATGCTTATAATCCGGCACCAGCTCCGGCACCCCCAAGAAGTGTCAAAATTATTGTTACTACTGGCCCAGCCAGCTGGTCGACAAGCACACACAACACACACACGAGCTCTAGCCACTAATCTGGAGCATTGTGTTGCAACAGAAAATATCTTCAAGTGCCTCAATAGGCACAACCAAAGTACACGAAGCCAATAATGCAATCCAACGAGACTGCACACTGATACCACGCCAGGGGAATATGTGACGAAATCGAATAACAATCAAAGCAAACAAATTTTAGGCTGTTAACTTCAAGAGCTACTTCAAAACCTTAAGATTACTGAGCAAATATATATAAATAGTCTTCATGATCATGTTCACATCCCTGAGTTGAAGACTCTTTCGGTTAACTCGATGAGTGGAATCATCGTTTTCCGCTCTGCATTCTCCACTTTTCACTCTTCACTTTCTATTTTCTACATTTCAGTCTCAACTCTTCATCCACCATTCTCCACCAGCTTCAACTCTCCACTTTTCATTCTCAACTCTCTGCCTTCTTCTACACTCTTTACTCTTCACCCACCATTCTCCACTCTCCAGTCTAAACTTTCTCTTGATTCTTCACTCTCTATTTTATACTCTCCAATCTTCACTCTCCATTCTCCACTCTCCACTTTTCACTGTACTCTCTACTCTATACTCTCCACTCTCCATTCTCCACTCTCCACTCTCCACTCTATACTCTAGCCTCTACTCTATACTCTCCACTCACCACTCTCCACTCTCCACTATCCACTATCCAATATCCACTCTCCACTCTTCCCTCTCAACTCTCCACTCTTCACTTTACACCATACACTGTCCACACACACTTGGCCACACTTCTTTTTGTCTCACCAAATTGTAGATTTGGCAGCACTGTGCCTTTTGACCATGCTAGCCCCCCTCCACCCATGCGAATTGTTAGGCTGTCAGGCGCTGCCACCCTGTGGCATTATTGACGTGTTGACCCAATATTTGCAGCTGACAAAGATATCGATTATGGTTGCACCTGTGAGAAAGCAAGGAATATGCGTGCCACAGATATCCTAAGTTTCTATTAAGCATGTCCAAAGCCATATGTGAACTGTGTCGGCCCCACAGCCAATTGCTAACAACAAGAGCAACGCAGGCAACAACAATTTGCTCGTTATTTCAAATTGAATTTGCGAGTTAAGTGCAAATAATTTGATAAAATTGGCACTTGGAGGCATTCGAGTGGGCAACGGCAACAGCGCCAACTAGAGCTCCAACTCCTGCTCCAACTTCGACTTCGACTGTGGCCAAATGCTTTGACTTGACTGCGTCCATTCAACCACATGCGAGCAATCCAGTTTTCTTTCTTTTTTTTGGTCTTTGGTCAAGTCTAACGCTCAAACGAGCGTCTAATAAATGAATGTGAAAACATGTGTGAATGGTCGACGGACTGATGCCCTGTATAAATGAAATGATATTTCAAAAATCAAGCAGAGTTCCCTGAAAGATATTTCAGTTGATGTTTATATGTATATAAACACGAACCTACATAACGAGCCAACTTTACCTCATCCCAAAGAATTTCTTTGTCAATAGTTTCTCTCTGAATCCTAAGAGATTACATAGATCAATGTGTACTGAAATATATACGACTTGCCTTGGCATCTGTACAGTAAATAATATATATTTGCAATCTGCTCAGGCATGAATGTGATAGTTATCGATTTTGACTATGAGTTAATGTTATCGATATCATATATGTATGTATATATATATACATATATCTTGCTTGCATGAAAAATTATGACTAAATTCCTAAAAATATAAGAAAAAAATAGTTAAATATTTTTTTTACTAAGTTGATCGATTTTTGTTAAGTCTGCAAGTTATCGATAATTGAAAATTATGTACACGTCCTAATCAGTTAAGGTCTTATAGCGTTTGCCAGCTAAACAGTTAGTTAACAAATAGAAGATAGAGAAATAATCAAAGAACTGACGTTGGGGTGACTGAAGGTCTCGAGTCGATGTTTCATACTTCTGTCTGCTTCACAGTCTTTAACATAGATGGAGTTGACATGTTGAAATTGAAGTAAATTATTTGAATACGCTGGAGTGCTATATCATAATTGGAAGTTATTGATAATTTTAATTGTAATTGTATCGATAGTTGTAAGTTATCGATAAATTGAAAAAAAAAACTACATATAACACTCAAATCATTTCTTGCCACTATCTATAGGCACACATCTAGTCAGTAAACCAATATACCCCAACTGAGCCTTTTCTAATTTTTGCAGGGTATCTAAAACTTACAAGCAAATCGCACAAAATGTTTTCGTTTCGTATCGTGTCCGGCTGTCGGAGAGCCGGACAGCTGAAGCTGCAGCCAAGTGGGCAGCGTCCAAGTGCGTTTTGTGTGTGTTTGGCTGCCTTCATATCTTGCAACCATCTGTGGCAAGTTTTTCACTTTGCTTTTCAAATGCGGCCCACGTGCCGCGTCGCAGTTCTATGCGCCTTTGATTTATGATCATCAAATAAAGCAATCAAAATCAATTTAACTGTTATCAAACTGGCTGGACTTTGGCTTCAAATAAACTTGCTTATATATATGGATATATATATATATATGTATAGGTGACTCATGCTGCCAGCTTCCAGCTTATGCTCCTCCTGGTTTGATCTGTATTCAGCTGTTGCAAACTTAATTAGCTGCCACATCAATGGCATTGGCGAAGGCAAAAGGTCAGCTAATGGCATTACATTGCCTTAATTAACAGTCAGCTTTGTGGCATGCAACATGCAGCTACCCTGCCCCTACACTACCTCCACCTCAATCTCTTAATCAATTGTCTGTGCAATAGGTGCAAAGTGCAGACGCTGCACTTTAGGAATCTAATTTAGCGCCCGTGACTCATTACCCATAGCCACACTCATTCCCATTCCCATTCCCATTCCCATTCCCATTCCCATTCCCATTTCCATTTCGAATTCGCTTCTGCCTTTTAAGGTGCAGCCCTCGACAATGCCTGCAGCCAGGGTATTTGCATTCCCATCAACTTTAGCTTCCGTTGCCACATAAGTCATAAAAAAAGTATAAGCATATGCATATATATACGATATTGGGTATGATGTGTAGGTGGCTGAGTTTGTCATTTACGATATTTGTATGTAATGATGAACTAGCATATCTCAGTTGAATATTTCGGTATTTGATTTTTCATATTTACGATATTCACATATTTACGATATTGGATAGACTGGGTTTGCTATCTAGAATGATGAACTGAGGAATAACGAACTAACATATCTCAAATTCAAACTTTTATTAAATATTTTTATTTTTGGTTTTTCATATATTTACGATATTCAGTTGAAAGATACTCTAGCTTGACTATATTGAACCTCTCTGTGTTTGAGGGATTCATGGAGTTCCATATACCTCATTCGAGATATCTTAAATAATATTCTTAAATATTTACGATATTACGATATTCAAGGACTACGCGCATTTACCCTTTTATTTATTTATAACATTTTCAGTTTTTCAATTCGACTTAATTATATTTTTTATATATTTACTATATAAATATTTTAGCTTTCCTATGCCCCTATATTGTTATTTTTATATTTTTACACACATATATATTTAAATACAATTAATCTGTTTATAACTTAATTTACAGTTTATGCCCTCCATAATTTTATAGTAAGTCTGCCTGGAATTCGAATCTGCGACACAAAGTTAAGCTGGCTCACTAAGTTAATTATTGAATATACATAAATTTATGTGAAATTTAATTACAATCATTTTTACATTGGATATATACATATATATGCAAATATAACTAGTCACATCATATTTGTCATACATTTTATTAAATAATTGCTTAGCCTAAAGAGTCATCAAAAGCTGAGATAATTTTCACTTTGCTTCTCTTTTGCTCCTCCTCTTTGTTAAATAATATAAAAGAGACAGATAAATATATATAAATACATATATGTATATATATATATATTTATGTCTGCTGATATTCATTGAATGTTGCACATTCGTCAGGCGCGCAATCATTTAAAGCAGAGGAAACAGCGGGAGCTGGAGAAACATTCAGTTGTCCATCCATCGTCCATCCATTCGTCTGACTGTCTTCCCGTCCGGTCATTCGGTTAATCCGGCTCGACTGTGCGGCACATTCGTTTACTGATTATGCGTTTTATGTGACGACCATAAATTTCCGCTGTCGCAGCTGCCACGCCCCCTCTCAAAGAACTGGCCCCCGCCACTTGCTTCTGTTTGCTGCTGCTGCTGCTGCTGCTGTCCGGCGCTTATCAATGGCCAGTTGCAGTTGGCATAAAAATAAATATTGCACAGAGTGAATGGACAAAGAGGAGGAAGAGAGAGCGTGTATAGACGACTGCGTAATACTCGTTCGGGGTACAAAGAAATAGTGAAGCTAAGTTATACATAAAGAATAGATAGAGTTGTCGTAAGATTTGTTAATACAGTTAGTTCTTGAACTTAAATTGGCTATAACTCAGCTATATGTGGTTCGATTCTGGAGTGTGATACTTTTTTTGACTTGTTGAAGTCTTGGGTATTAATTGGGGCATTACAATATTCACTTCTAAATTTTGAGTCATTTTTGAAAAATTTTAAGGCAAACTGCAGTTTGATTGGAATATTTATTAAGTTTTCAGCTTTTTTTTTATTTTGAGTGGAATGATGTTTTTAGACTTTGAATTTGAAAGACTCCAGTTTCGGGTATACCTTTGCTATTGCTAAGAGACTATTTACACTCGAAATGCCTGAAACCAATATACTCGCTTCTTTCATTTGTGTAGCCATTAAAAGTAGCTGGAAACACTTTTGCCTTGCATTTAATGGCAATTTCTTTAGCTTTTTTTTAATGCAAGCTACAAATAAGCCACATAAGACGCTTACTACTTGAGGCTGACCGATGCCGCAGCCAAATTCGGCCTGTGACTGACCCGAAAGGCCCTCAAAGGCAATTTGTGGAAAGTAATTACAATCTGCCTGCGTGGGTGGGTGTGGATGGGTGTGTGTGTGGAGTTCCAGCAGTAATTGGGGGAGCTGCTCAGATAAGCTTCAGTTTATATATATAATTATAGCTAAAGTGGAATATAATAAATACTAAGCGGCTTTTAACTGCTTATGAGCGAGTGATGGACCTTCGCACTGGAACGGGCACTGGAACTTAGGATTAAAAGGGATAATAATGGAGAGAGAGGGAGAGGCAGAGAAAAGAGAGTGGATCTCTTCTTTTAGCTACTTTTATATCAGTTCCTGTGGAATTATGTACTAAAGTATTTAAAGTATTTTATGTATTTAAAGTATTAGCTAAATAAAATATTTAGTTGTTAAAAATGATATGATAAGTGGTAAATTATATACTGGCAGATACCCTGCTTTCCTATACACATTCATCTGAGTTCATTCGACATTCTGATTCAAAATGTTTTTTATCTGAATGATCATTATGAAATATATCGATCTATATGTGCGCATATATATGGTGTATAATGATTCTTAATCAGGACGACCGGCAGAGTGTCGGACGTTTGCTTAAGACTTGTAATTTATATTAAATGTATATTCCTGTTGCCATATAAAGTATGAGCTAAATATTTCTTTCGATAACTCAACCCATTTCCATATTATCGATAATAATCGATCCTTCTACTTGGCTTATTTAGCTTGAGGGCCACCAGCGCTAGATATCTTGAATTTACTATGTATGATCCTCTGATGAATATTGAGACTTTGTATGCATCGACTTTTGGATAACTGCCCCCATTCCCCTCCCTCCCTGAGTTGTGTGCCTGATTCACTTAGCAGCTCTGCTCAGCCCACCCTTTATTTGTTTTCTATGCCAATTACAGGGTATTTAATGAACAACAAAGTAAACCTAATTGTCGCCTAGTCATTTGGCTATGTAATTCGAGTTTTTTATGCAAATCAAGTTTTTGCATTTACAATAGAAAAGCTTGATTTATAGCTAGATTATTAGCATATATACAGACGTGTTTCTATATGTGCTGCCAACTAATTAAAAGTAACATTTAAAAGCAATTTGGACAGGTTTTCGGTTAAGTACACTCGAAAATAATTATGGGGCTATTTGGGAAGCATTTACACCCAAACCGAATGCAACAAAACAAAATTTGCATAAAACGCGTTTGAATTTAATGTCATGAATAGCTGCAGTTGAGTGTGTAGAGTGTGTGTAGAGCGTGTATGTTGTATCTTTAACTCTTTTAAAGCGCTGACAATGAGGTCGACAGTGCAAATAATTTACAATTCTGCAATAATTTTTCGACTGCTATTCAAGAGCTGCCCACGCGCCACGCCCACAATCAGCTATCCGCCTGCATCTCGGATCGAAGCTGCATACGCCCAACTATCCAAAAACTTTTTCGAACTGTCCGAACTGTCAGTTTGGCCTGTTGGTCTGCTTGGCCTGTTTGCTCTGGCGCTTGTGGGTGCCAGCCGAAGCTGACAAGCGATGGCGGGGGGCGTTTGAGGCGTGGGTCTTGGACAACTGACCACACGCAAAATGCTGATGCAGATGCAGTTGCAGATCGAGATGCTGATGCTGTTGCAGACATAGACGTAGACAAAGACTGGAACACTTAGCTTGAGGGCTTCGAGCAAAGGTTGAGGGACTGAGCTACTGTTTGCATATTTATCGATAAATTTGCATAAAATCGATTAGTCAATGCAAGTAACTAGAAAGCTTAAAGCACTTGGCAAAATGATTGCTAGGAAATCAATGAAAAGTTTCCAAGTTCGAATCTCTTTAATCATAGGGTCGACTATTGTTTTATATCTCAGTTCAAGATCAGAGTTCGAATCCCATTTACCATATATATATTTTTAAATTATATTTCTTTGTTCTTAAAACAACTGAATAATCTGAGTTTATTTAGTGGACCATGGCTTTAATGTTGGGTAACCTTATCTTGTATCTTTTATATAAATGAATTTTCAGTTTAATATTTAAATTAAATTTTGGGTCAATTCACGGCTCGAATCCCAATTTCCCCTTAGCGAACCTGTTGGGCATGCAAAACTGTCTGCATATTTGACAGAAGCTTTATATATATATATGTATATATATGTGCATTTAGTTGGGGTCTATATAGATATAGTGTGTGTCTCTCTCCCCCTGGCTCTGTCTCCGTGTACATGCAAATTTGTAGTCAACGATTGTTAATTTATTCATGATTCGAATCGGCTAACGGGCAATGGGCAATGGGCAACGGGCAGCGGGCTAAGCTTCCGTTATAAATCCGCGCCGCACGCTTCGCTGAACAATCCAAAGGGCCGTTCAGTAACCCATTTTGCAGACTTGAAACGAAATCCGACAACGAACATATATATATATATATATATATACATGTATCTATATGCAGATGTGTGTGTGTATATGGGCGGGTACTCATCCATGCAGCAGCATAACCCAAATAGGCGTGTCCAAAACTCTGTTTACAATTCGAATGGGGTCTCCGCTTACAGCTTGAAGCGTGTGCAAAAAAGAAAGACAAAAGTGTTGAAGCCAAGTTAAACAAGCCAAAAGGATGCAGCTGCAGTTTGCTTAGATGGTGAAGAGAAAGAAGCACACAGCGTATGAGGCAGAGGCAAGGCTAAAGGCAAGAGCGGTGGCAGCGTCAAGGCCCGTTGCTAACTTGGCCATTGCAGCTCCAGCCAAGCATCCCATTCCCATTGTTAGGCACTTGCAGCTTGCTTTTTTGGACTAGAAGTGTTAGACTACATGGTGTGAAGAGTAGAGTATATGCTCCATTTAGTATATCTTCAGATATACCTATATACACCTACAGTATCTAGAGCATATATACTCTATGTGTAATATACTCGTTTCACTACGTAAACGTGTAAATCTTCGACAAAGGCTACAAAGGAATTTTAGCTTTTTTACCGCCGCGTAGAGCCCTGTGGGTGTGATTAATGTAATGAGAAATTTAAGTAGTTGTTGCTGCGTGAAATTCGCTCGGGTTCGTCGTGTCTCTTGTGTCTTGGCTGTTGGCTCTTGGTTGAGGTGCGTGTGAAGCAGCTCGCTTCAACACGCCCTTTGTCGTTGACAATGTGTTGACTGAATGCTCCATCGAAGTTTGTATCAATGACCCAAATCTGTTTATTTTTTTCGGGCCATCTCTAGCGCACACACTCCCTTTCCCTTTGCCTCTCTCCTGCTCTCACTCTCTTTGGCTCATTCATAACTGATTTTGTAGCCCACACTTGAAATTTGCATAATTTGACAAGCGTTAACCAAGAGAAGACAAAAAAACAAAAAAAGCTAAGATTTATTATGGGCACACTCTGCATATACGGGTAAAACTGATCCGATAACCATCTGATAATTGTACTCGAACAGGAAACCATCTATATAGTCCCCTCACATATTCATATAATTGAGTCGGCGACAGTCACTGATCGTAATGAGATCTTTGTAACCGCAGCGCAACAAATGTCATTTAGTATAGGGAAGAAACCATCAAAAATCCGCTTCAACTTAGCTGTGCTGTTGGCAATTTAGCCATTTTATAGCTATATCTTATTGGTTAATAATGAAGGTATAGGAATATATAATCATGAATCTAAATCAAAGTTAATATATTTAATGCATTTTTCAACTTAAAGTTGACTATTTTTTAAAGCTTTTTTAAAGCTATTATTCGTGTTTTAATCTGGAAAAGT